GCAGCAAGGGAAATGTATCGCATCGAGAAAGGTAGGTGGGTATATAGGGATAGAGGTATATCTTCGGATAAGTTTATAATTGGAGTGCTAATTGGGAGAATTTAGTACTGAAATTGTGTCACAGTCAGTCTCTCGTTTCGTTCCATTCGTCGCTATAGAGCACTCGTCGATTTTCTTTTTACTCCGATTTTGATCAGTGTATTTTCTAAAGCGATGCGAGGATTTTTTCGAAATCGGATTAATCGGATTAACTGTACGTCGTCTATTCATCGTTCATCTCGCAAAACGGATTACAAGTAGAAAAATGATAAAATTTGTATACAACAGTAATAATAACTCTAAATTATATGAAAATTATCTCAGAATATTGCAATACCCGTCCGGTAAAAAAAATCGCAATGTGTGTGTGTGTGCTATGGTACTGTTAGGACTACCATATCGAACTTCGAGCTCGCGAGAGAGCCCGAGAGCGGAGAAGTAAAAGGTTCCATGACCTCTGTTCTCTTCTGTTCATACACGGGATGATACCGGCAACATTATAACACTCACCTTGAAGAGTGTTATATCTGCAACGAAACAACAATGAAGGAAGAGAGAACCATGGGCGGACCGAGTCGACCAAATATCGCGAGTCGCCGGTCCAATGGACATTCGTGACGGGTGATGCCGCGGGTATGTTGGAAAAAACGGCGACCGCGAGTCGCTCGCGGGGGTCACATCCAACTCGATGACGGTTAAAATCGGATGGAAATTGTAGGATTTCGGATTTGAAAATATTAGACGCATAGCGCAAGATGAGAGGGGCGAATTGTGCTTTAATACTTCAATAATAATGTTTAATAATCTAGTGAGTGAAGATTCAAATTTGGAAGTGTTGTTTTAATGAAGTAGAATTAACTATACGCTTCTAGATTAATATTTTATAGACTATTAACGATTATTATTTTATGTTTATGTTCGCTATACACCCTGTATGGATTGATCATTATATTGGTCGGATGTAAAAGTTATTTTAGGATTATCTCAACAAATACTCCAGATTTTATTGCGAATAAAAATTCTGAAGTCATTTTAATTTTATGTTCCACAGCAGCAAACTAAGAATTCCTGTCGGGCGAAAGTTTTAAAGAGTTAAATACCAAACGGTATTGTATTTTGTCTGTCCGTTCTTTCTTTTCGAAATCAATATTTAAAAGGTATTTTCCTTGATGTCTTTAATTGAAAATTGTATATTTTTCCATGATTCTAATTTCCGGCATTTTCTCTATACGCGAGATTCTTATTATGCAGTCTATCGTCACACACGCAGTCTTGCGATTTGCAATTTTATCAAAGGACATCAGAAATAGTAATGCAAACATTTCGATTTCCGCCTTTCTAAAATTAAATGTATATAATTTTATAAAGAAAACTCCATTTCACAATCGTTCTTTTCAATTTATTATGCACTTTATAACAGATATTTGAAAAAAACTAGTTTTTTTTTTCTTAAATAAGTTTTGTTTCATTATTTATTTTATTACTAGAAGACTTAATTAAATGTACATAAGTAACAAACAATAACTTTTAAGTTAAATAGGTATATCTAATTATAATTACAGTTCTGTATGTAATTATTGTTAAATGGAAAATTTTTCGTTTAACGACTAAGAGTAAGTTATAATAATATATTTATAATGCAAATTGAGTATTTCAAAAAAGTTCATTGTTTTAAAAAATAAATAGAAATCCTATCGGTATGCACTTTGCCTATTGGCATGTGGAATTGTGCAATATGCCCATCGTATTGTTCGCATAGTTCAGTCGTAAAACGTTTCCCATCGATTCTCCACCTGGTGATATTTTTTTTTTCGGTTTTGCATCCATACTTTTGCCACACCTGTCAACGTCAAGCCGCAAGCCGCCGCTTAACCCGAAGGTGATGTTTAAAAAAATGCAATAATGTTCGCGGCTCTTCATCGCTCCGCTGTCCTTTTTCATTGTTTTAGGTGTTAAACCAGTCGATAACAACACTTAACCAGGTAATTACCGGGTATTACCTACACCCATAAAGTAAAAAAGCCCGATGACCCTCTCGATGCGCAAAAAAGCCGTACGCTTCGGAAAAAAAAATATATATGCGCGCCGATGAGGAGATGGACATTTCGGAGATTGATTCATGGGCGCCCTGAAGATTTAACGCTCGTCGGCTTCGCGATGAGTTTTTAAAGTAATTCGACCTTATGCGTGCGTACTCGCGCGATTATTCGTCGAAAATGTCGGGCATTCTAACCGGAGAATTCGCTATTTTTCCGGCAATTCCATTTCCCCTCTTTTCATAGAACAGATCCCGAATATCTGAGCTTGTCACGCCGCTTAACAGCCTGTCGACGCAACTCTACCACATGCTGAAAATTTATTTCGATAGATTTTCCCGAAGTAAACCCCGCCCCAAAATAATAGAGCTCGGTAAGGCATTTATAGTCCGAACTTTACTCCAATAAAAAGTTAAAACTGGCAAATCTAAGCCATTATGTAAGTAAGTAGTTGATCAGTGGTAAGTTATTCGAACTGGAATTGTATTAAAAGTGTTTTTTTGGGCAATTCGCGAAACTCCCAAGTGAAAAAAACTGATGGCATTTTTCGTTGCGGACGCTTATGGCGCGGGACCAGATTTTGTGAGAAGAAAAAAAGAGCAGAACATCGCCGCGTTATGCGCTGGCCGGCCGACGAAATAATACTGCAAATGACCCAACGAAAGAATGAAAGACCGTTTGAAATGGGAGATAAATTAACATCACTTAATTTTCGTCTCATGAATATAGCGATTAGTATTATCCGAGATATACCGGACGTCGCGCGCAACCGATACCGAAAAAAATGAACAACCGAATTTTAACGATCGGGCCGTAAAAAATTCGATTATGTTTGCGTGTACGCGGCCGCGCGAGCTTCGAAACGATGTTTTTAATGAATTTGCGATAAAATTAATTTTGCGTCTATTTTACATAAATACAACTATGCAAAATTATTATAATAGTACGTTTTACAGCGCAACAAACATTCAACGCCCAGGGATTTTAACTCCCAAACGTTTCGAATAATTAACCATTCAACAGCAGGTATAGCCACGAGACGTCCTGTATATTCGTTACAAATGATTTAACGAGTCTTCTTATACGCTTCAGAGGTCGATTAGTAGTATTGGTAAAGTATGTTCGATTTAACGGCCAGATCGAAATATACACTACACACAAGGCACGTCAGAAATCTATGCCCCGTAATAAATATTGATATGTAGCAAGAGATTGTTTATGATTTTTTTTCCTTTTATTATTCTTTACATCTCGCGCCCGATGTGTTAGGTAGTTACGGTGGACTAGATGCGTGAAAAGAAGATTAATGATAGAAAACGAGATTTTTTTACAATGCAATAAAAGTATTAGCCATCTTTTCCCAAGGTATTAAAATACTTGTGATATGTATACCGTTGGTTAAATGACTATATTATATTCTTTAAAAAATATCTTAACAGTAATTGTATTTTTTTAATATGCAACCACTGCTCTAAGTTTTCTAAGAATTCCTTTCTACTGTATGTATAGTAATATAATTACTTAGATGAAAGTAATGAAAAGAAACCTTTTTCTCTAAATCACCCACTTAATTCAACAATTTTTTTGTTCGAGCCTCCTTCAAAGCCGAGATTTTTTCTTTATTTCCTTGTGATCATCGTAAAGAAAATAGTCGTATTAGGTATTATACTTTTAAAGAAACCTCCTAAAAACATGGCGACGACTTTCATCTCCGAGTGTACAAAATTGTCCCTTATGCCGTCAGGACGCCGTCCGGGGTCGTTTCCAGCTTTTAGCCTAATATTTTCCTTCGAAATCCCTCAATGCGATTAATTTGTAATAACGAAGTAAGAAGATGAAAAGATAAAAGAGCAATGATTATTATTTCGAAATGGAATTGAAAAAGTTGGCGTCCGCGGAATAATCCGGGCGATGTTTGTCAAAATGTCGGATATGAGGTAAATTTGATATCGTTTGTTTAAAGAAATTAGGAACCTATATCTTAAAAAAGGTTCAAGCTGGATAAGAAGACAGTAGGTATTTTATTAATTTATCTTTACGAGATGATTTATTTTTCGCTTTTTGCAATTAAAGCGTTAATTTTATTAGTCGGTGTTTTCAAAAGTAGTTTAGAATAATCGAGAGGCAAAAATTGGGCTCTTGTGCTTAAGATTTTAAGTATGGCTTTTAAAATTTAATTGGAATTTAACAGGCACTTCATCCGGGCTAAAGGAATCTCTCCTGGAAAGCAGTTAAAAAAAGCGAAAATTTGTTTTCCCTAAATTACATTTTCATGGAATCGGACTTCTAAAGAATAACTAAAATTGCAGAGTTAGTTAGATTTATTAAATTTTTAGCTCGTTAAGTTCGTCAAACGCGGGTTTATGTACTTGTTAATATCAGGTAAAAAAAGCGGATTTCGGAGAATTGATGGTTAGGAGAAGAACGGATTCGTTAATTGGATAAACTCGATTTAATTTGAATGGTACCGTTGTTTAAATTATCAAAAATTAATTTGTGCTCCTTAACGATGTACTTACCTACTTTATGCCCGTAATTGCCAAATAATGCACTAAATAAGTAATTCGAAATTTTAATTAAATTTAATTACTTACACACATTTTACTTTTAACGCTTCGTGGAATTAATTTATTGCTTAATCGACTTGCTTGTTCCTCTAAGATCAACGTCTGAATAACATATTTTTAACATGATACTATAACATTAAGGAGAAAAAAATATAGCTGATACGACATGGAAAAATACATATTATTTTGGATTCTTCAATGAAATAAAATAACATGATGTTTTCAACAATGTGAAATTTTTGCAATTTCTGCACTTGCTTATCCTACCGCTTGTTTTTCAATAACAGGTCCATAAAATATTATGCATGTAGTTCGCGTTTGTCTGTTGTAATAATGTGCTTATTTTCTTTTGTTGCAGACTTAAAATCAATTTATAATTGATCCAGGAGTATTCTACGAATTGTTTTTTAAAACACTACAGGTAAGCGTATTTTATTTTTTTATTTAGTCGAAATGGATGTGTATGTAAAGGTCCTATAGGATTTTCTAAGTTTGTGGAATTAATTTTGGATCAAAAACACGCAAGTTGGCATCTAGTTAATAAGAAGTTTCCTTCTTTTATGTAGGCCTAAGTGCGTACTTTGTTTTCAAAGTTTATTAAAATTACTGAAATTTACTATGCCTGATTACTGTTATTATATGGGAGGTAAAAAGGAATAATTCCTCGAAAAGCGAAAAGAAATTCAATTTTATTTTTAATATACCGAAATTACCTTGTTTACATGAGGATATATTTATTTTGCATAATTTTTCATAAATATGAATGAAATTGTATGAGTACCTACAATTGAATATTCTCATAGAATTTAATAGGTGTTTTGTTGATATTTTTTTAATATCTATTATAATATGCACCATTAAATAGCATTACGAGCGTAATTCATCAATTAATAATACATAAATATTCGTAATCGCCTTTAACATCAGGTAGTCATTAGTCCCTCGATTTTTCCCATCTACCCTGTAATTTTCATAACCTAACGGGTCGTTGCGATGTCTGATATTACATAGCAGCAGGGTAGGGCCCTGGTCGCCTATCTCTCTTCCTCGCCGCTTTCTGAGGCTCCTCCGCTATTTTATAAACTTCATCGCCACCGGATGGACTCCGACTGGCGATTGCCGCCCCCCGCGCTCCCTTTTCAACTACGCGACCGACCGACGGGCCGCCTCCTGTCCCGCTCGCTCTGCCGTCCGGGAACCGGGGGATTAAATATTTTCTAATACAAAACTAAAATGCCATTTCGCTTTGGCTATTTCGCCGCGCGGAAGGTGGAAGGTGAATGAGTCGCCTAAAGTAATGTGTTGCCTAGGAAGTAATGCGTTTCGTCGATGATCGAATTAATTTTTCGTTTTGTCTAATATAACATTCGTTTGCAAATGGAGTAGTAATGTTCTTCCAATTTTACATCACGAACGGTTCTTTTGTAGTAACATCCCTTTCGATCGAAAGTTTCGCAGACCCCCGGCATGTACAAATACATCATTCATAACGGAGTTGTCAAGCGAAGGTTTCCTCGATCGTCAACCTTTCCCTTATAATATATCCCTTTTTCCTTATCAAAATACCTTTCAATGTGCGCTCGTTTCCCCCGTCGGACCCCCTCGGGGGCGGCCTGCGCGCCCCCCAATCCATTATTATCACTCTAAAAAGCACCGAAAACATACGGAACGAAAATTTAATTCGCTCCCATTGCCATTATATTTACCGAATCAATAAGCCAAACAGACGGCGCGAATACACCTTTTGAATCGCATCGTCCCGCCGCCCGGCGACCGATCGTCCGTTTCCCGGACCGCCGCCGCCCGCCCGCCCCCCTCCGTTCGCCAGCCCTGCTCCCTTTAGACCGCAAGTTTTCCATCAATGACGATGTTAATATTCGAGGTGGGGGAACAAAGAGGAGCCGCTATTCTCGTTATTATAGATGGCTAAAATTGTGTGGTGGCCGCAGATTAGATTAATTCCCTTTTCTATACCGGGTCGGTCCACCAATGTGGAATATTACTAGTGCGAGTAAGAAAGTGTATTTTACCATAATAATATCTCTCAAAATGGAGAGATAGTACCTGTTCATTTAGACCTGTTCAAAACCATTTAGAGCTCCTCAAGAATCTTCCCAGTTCCATTAGAAATCAAATTGAAAGGTATTGTTGGTCGCCTTTAATTTGTAAGATCGGTTACGGAACCTGAGAAGGTATCTCTCTATCTGAAAGTATCTCATTTTCCTTCGGTTTTTTTTATGGCGAATTTGGGCAGCTGGCGATCAATTCTCGGAAGAATCCTTTGCGGAAAATGCGCGGTATCAGCGCGATATCGTCGGATCGCCGTACCGCGACCGTCGGCGTTCCGATGTGGGTTAAAGCGTCCCAACTTCGAGTTGTAAATCAGAGAATTAACGGTCTACTGACCGACGCTTTTTACCAGTTTATTTTATGTTCTCTCGCGCGCTTACATGTATCCGCGCGAGGCCCGTCGAAAACTGTTCGTCTCGAAACCGGCGATTAAAAGTTCAAACGCAAGAAAACGTCCTTTGACGCTGATTTAGTAATTTGAATTTTATAGTTGCGTTGAGGATTTTATTAGGAAAAGATCGGTGTTTATGATGTATTTGGTTCTTATAGATTTGCTGTAAAATAATAAAATTGTCGAATCCCGTGTGGGATATGAAATTATGGAACAATAAAATATCTAATAACGAAAGGATTGGGTAATTTGTTAAAATGGTGTTTAATTTAAGAGTGGATTTCATAATTATTAGATACAATATATTCCAATACGACTACATCTGCTAAAATTGCAGTGTTTTGCTTGCGAATTTATATTTATTACCTTGTTATTAATGTCTAATTTCATTCATTATAGAATATAAAATTTTAATTAACGTTTTGATAGTAGTTTATTCCATGCAATAAATATAAAGTAAGTTCAATATTGTGACAAGTCCAGTAACTACTAAAAAGAAAATTTTATAATCAAGAAATGTGAATGTGCTTCTATTAAAAAGTGATTTTTCGAGGAAATAATCAAGCGATAATATGAAGCGTATAATCCAATTAAAATATATTTTTTCGAAAAAGTATCAATTTCGCTACAAAAATAATATTTCCCTAATTAGATATCCGATACGTTGCGCCGTTTCGGCTGCCACAATATCCATTTGCCGAATTTCCAAAGTCTGTGCATCCACCTAGTTAGTCATTGTTTATTACGTTACCGTTTCGACAGTTTTGAAATTTTCACCAGCAAGTACGAAATTGCTCATAATGAACACTCCAATTATTCTATGGGCGTTTATCAAAAACCGATAACAGCGTCGAGCTGTCTATTGTAACTTCGAAATATTCGATTCGTAATCTATACCTCGTTAGGGATGATGATTTTTAATTAGATACACCTTACGAATAAGTTTTTGTCATTTGTAATATTAGAAATGTAGAGAGGATAAATGCGATTTCTATCGGTTTCTGATTAGGGAAACGTTACCGTATATGAGAATGCTTGAGAGGCGGATAATTCGAGCATCGCTTTATATAGAAATTTAGCGAAAATTGGCTTAATAGTTAGAAAATGCCAAAAAGGAACTAAACTAGCCTCCGGTTGTCGGCCATTTTACGCGAAATCCGCACTAAACATCTGACTTTTTGACAGTTTGACAGTTGAATGTAAGGCCGGGTCGTATTAGTGTTGAGTCCGAGTCCAACCTGACTAGCCGTGATATGTCTATGTTTAAACATGTTTATTTAATTCATTCGACGTTGGAAATAACGATTAAAATAGAATCGGTAAATTATTTACTCATGTTTTATTCAGTGGTTTGTTCTTGCTTATGTATCGAACGGTGATACTCATTAAATTTAACGTACAAGAGGAAAGAAAATCCTCCAACTATTACTGAAAAAATTACATTTCTATTACAACATTTTAAAGTTGTATAAATAAATGTAAGAATACTTTATAATTACTTATGCTTTCCTATACCTATAAAAGTCAAAAATCAAGTTATTAATTGCTCGATCAATTAGACAGTCGAAACCTCGGGTGCGTTTCGAAATTAAAAATTCCCTACACGTTTTGCGATTTGATTTCCCGCAACACGGGCAATAGCGAGCCCGCAACGCGCCGAAAATAAACATCCCAATAAACATCGCAATTGGTCGGATACGCGGGCTGAAAAAAAAATCCCAGATGAGAAAAAATGGCAGAGGCAAATCGCCCTAATCGAAGGCATCGGTCCGTGCGGCCCAATATTTTCTGCACACATTCACCCACTCAACCGACCGACGCCGACGCCGCTCGCAAAATGCGAGCATTAAAAAAAATGGGATTGCCGCGTCGTTTAAAAGCGCCCTGCAGCAGAACCGAAATCAGCTGATTTTTTAATAGTCTAAATTATTAGTTGTGAAATGAAAAAAAAAGTGAGTTTTTGGACATCGGCACAGCGCTTTATGTGGAAAGAAAAGCGTTATTTTTACGCACAATACGCATTCTAAAAGTTTCTCGCACTTCAATTTCGATGCATAATTAAGCGATACGGTCCTGGTATCAAGTGTAAACGATAAAGCAATGTTGCATTTACGTCCTAATCAAATATCCATTTGGTAAATTAAAGACGTCTGGCTGTCTAATTCATTCACTTTGGTCATTTCATCCGAAAGCCACCGACTGGAAATGGTACTGGGGTTAGAGGCAAATAAATATTTTAGTTGACTCGGCGGGCCAAAAAGCTATCCTTTAGATTAATTTTTGTTTGGAATTTTCGCCAACCGGCCACATGCGATTTGTTTATTTACTGTTTAACATTTTTTTAATAATTTCACATTAACGCTTCGGCCTCGTAAAATTAACGGCGCCGTTCGTAAATTTATTAAGCATTTTATAAATATATATTTTATCGTACGGATGCGACGAGTGACTTTCGCAAAGCGGTCGATTTATATGCGATAAATTCGCCAATAAAAGCACCAAGCAATCCAAAAATCGACCATCGATTAACCGCTTTTGTTAGATGCCAATCAAAACGAGCGATTAAAAATTATGAAAGGTAATTGATTCGTTAAGTAAGCATCGGATGCTACAGGAAACTGGAATGTTACTCATTCAATCGTCTTGTTCCATTTATTTTTAGAGTTTAAAAATTTTAAGATGTTAAGATTACAGTACACATCAAAGAGTACTTTTATTATCAATGATTTTAGTCGCGCCGCGGTGGTAAATTAGAGTAGAGTATAAAGTAAATGAGAGTACATTGAAAGAGAATATGTGGATTAAAATATTTTGCTGTATCTAAATAAAAATTCTCAAACATCATAAGAATTATTTTCCGGGCACATTGCACATTCTCTGCGACCAATTTACCTATACGATTAAAATCTATAAACCCTTTTGCGCCCAATGTATCCATTTTAGGAACGCTAAAGGACAAA